AAAAAAAAAAAAAAGAAAAGAAACCCCATCTCTACTAAAAATACAAAAAAAGTAGCCAGGCGTGGTAGCACGTCCCTGTAGTCCCAGCTACTCGGGAGGCTGAGACAGGAGAATGGTGTGAACCCGGGAGGCAGAGGTTGCAGTGAGCAGAGATCACGCCACTGCACTCCAGCCTGGGCGACAGAGCAAGACTCCGTCTCAAAAATAATAATAAAGCCAAAATACACACGAGGTGCTGGGTGACTGTTCCCTGGGAAACTGGCCAACCCAGGAGCCTGATGCCACCCTCAACCTGGCCCCCGCCCCCGGAGGGCAGAGGCTAATGCCACAGAGACCTCTAGGGTGCTGGCCCAGCCTGGCCTTCCATTCCCTGACATTCCACTCACCCCTGGGGCTGTCCCCTCCCAAGACAGATGGAGACCAAGATGGCCCGGCTGCCCTGCTCAGGGGCTGTGGATATAGGAAGATCCTGGTCCTTCCTCGTCAGATACCATCTGGGTGGCCCCTACTCCCAGGCTCACCCAGTGTCCTCCCAGCCTGACCGCTGGGGGCTCCACCTCAGCCCTGTCATGCCTGCTGTCCCATAGCCTGCGGTGCTGGGGCTCGGCCCCTCCAGTCTGGCCCCAGGGCTCTGCCCAACAGGCACACAGGGAAGCCTTTGGAGCCTTCCGAGACCCTGACGTGTCCCTCGCCCATCTGCCACTCATAGACTCCCACTGGGAGGGTGGCTGGTCAAGCTCCTGTGTCCTGGGAACTCGCGTTCCCAGGCTTACCCCCGGCAGACGTGACTTGGAGACACGCCAGGAGGGGCGTGGGCGCCAGGCTCAGCTCTGCACCTGCAGGGCCATCCGTCCAAAGAGGGCTGCGTGAGGGTGGCGGGCCCTGGCCTGGCTCTGCAGCTGGGAGGAAGCCTCTGCCTGGAAGCTGTCCACAGCTTCAGGGGGCTCCCACTGGCTGGGGTGCAGCCTCCTGCAGGGGATGGTACCACAAGCCCCCAACTGGCAGTGCCCAGTACCCCGGGTCCTCTGCTGCTGGCCCACACCAGAACCCCAGCCACGGCCCCTCCCCTCCGCCCAGCCCTCAGGTCTCAGCAGCCTGCTCTCCTGAGAGGGGTGGGGTCCGGCCCCTCCACTCCTTCAGCCAGACACAGCCAGACCTGAGCCGGAGTCTCCACCCCCAAATACCACCACCCCCAAATGCCATCACCCCTGCCGGCAGGCTCCTCCTCTGCTCCTCATTCGCCCGCACGTCACCTGCAGGCTCCATGCTCACAGTCTGCATGGCCAGGACACTCGACAGTTCCTTTGGCTCCTGCGGGCCCAGGTGGCCTTACTACCAGCTGGCCCTGCGCCCGAGGCCACAGCTCCTCAAGGCCCCATCAGCTTGGCTGAGCCTAGACTCCCTCATTTCCGTCTGCCCCTGGTCAAGCTTCGGCGGGAAGCAGTCCTCCAGGGCTGCATCTCTTGGTGACAGTCCCTTCTCGAGGGGGTCCTCCCTCCCACTCTGCTCCCTGGCCTAGCCCCACACCTGGTCCCAGTGCCCTCCTAACTTCCACAACCCCCACACCCCAGCAAGAACTTCCCCGGGGACCTCACCCTCACCCTTGGACCTCACGCACCCCCACTAATGAGTCCTGTGCCCACCGTGACCCCTCTCCAAGCACCAGAACTGCCTCATAGACCCAGCCTGGCCCCAACCAAAAGCAAGCTCCCAGCCTGACCCCTGCAGTCCACTTATCATGGCTTCTCTAGCCAGGATCCTGGGGCCACTCTGCTCCTCCCCAACCTCTCCCCAGATCCAGGCCCCTGCCAGGGCCCCAGAGTCCTGCCCAGCTGGCTGCTCCCTCCCACTGCCACTGAGGCAGAGCTCCCTCCTGGACAGTGTGCTGGGCTGTGGCAGGACCACCACCCTGACCATGCCCCATCCCCTGTCCATGCCACAGCAGGATACTGTTTCCAAATCACAGACCTACCAACCTCTGCTGCTCCTGGTGTCAGGGGACGAGACTCCTGACTCATCCGGTGGAGGCCCAGGCCATGGAGGTGCCCACTGCCCAGCCCAGCCCCGCCCCACCAGCCTCGGCCCTGGCAAACCCACCCCTTCCTTCTCCTCGGCAGAGGCTCTTCTGCCGGGACCTTCTGAGCCCTAGGCCGCACTCACCACGCCCGAGTTTCTCAGCCCGATTATCTTTCTGCTCTGCTCCTTCCACAGACCACACTCTCCTACCCACTGCGCACAATCTGTTTCACACGCTGATGCTGAAGGAGTGCCACATCAAAGACAAAAAACACTTAGAATATCCGTGCCCGATCCCACGGACGCGGGAGACTATCCGCGCCCAACCCCACAGATGCAGGAAAAAATGGTCTGGAGAAAAACACTATCAACAAAACCACTGGGAAACAGGAAAACAAACATGCCACTTGGATCCAAAGGTGGGACGAGAACTGCTCCAGATTAAAACACTAAAGAGACATGATTAACCAAATGCACCTGTGAACCCTGACGGGCCCAGGTGTGGGGATGGGGGTGGGGAACACTATAAAAGGCGGTCTTTTTTACATTTTTTGGGTTTTTTGTTATTTTTTTGAGACGAAGTCTTGCCCTGTCACCCAGGCTGGAGTGCAGTGGCGTGATCTCAGCTCACTGCAACCTCCGCGTCCTGGGTTCAAGCGATTCTCCAGCCTCAGCCTCCCAAGTGGCTGGGATTACAGGTGGACACCGCTACGCCCGGCTAATTTTTGTTTCTGTGTTTTTTTAGTAGAGACAGGGTTTCACCATGTTGGCCAGGCTGGTCTTGAACTCCTGGGCTCAAGCAATCCTCACACCTCAGCGTCCCTCCTGAGCAGCAAGCACGTACCACCACAACCAGCATATTCTGTTTTCTTTCCAGGACTCTCACCTCCGAAAAGATGTGGTCCCCTTAGCCAAGGCTGCCTTTCTCCTACTGGAAAGGGTTCGGTCGGGAACTGCTCTTACACAGCGGCCTGCCTCCCCCCCAGCTTCTTGGGACAGGTGTTGGCCCGACTCCAGCACTTCAGGCCCTGGGAAGCCACATCCCATGGCTCTGAGCCTCAGGGAAGTGAGCCTAACCCCACATGCGCCATCATGCCCAGCCACACAACAAAAACCTTAAAAAGATCTGTTTGGAGTCAAAGTCCACAAAACCTACCAACAAGCTGCGGTACCACCTGATCCCCTTTCTCGCTAATCTGTGGCTACCCAGCTGAATCCCCTCTGGCACGAGCTTTCCTGCGCAAGGCCTTTGGCCACTCCCTTTCCTGAATCCCTTTCCCCAAACAGGCACAGCTTTACTCCCTTTTCTCCTTTAGCTTTTCGCTGAAATGTCACTTCTTAGACTTTTCCTCAGCACCCTATTTAAAGCAGTCCCCAGCCAAGGCAGGAGGATTGCTTGAGGCTGGGAGTTTGGGGCCAGCCTGGGCAACGTAGTGAGACTTCCATCTCTACAAAAACACGTAAAATTTGCCAGGCATGGTGGCATGCACCTGTAGTCCCAGCTACTCAGGAAGCTGAGGGTGGTTGATTGCTTCAGCCCAGGAGTTCAAGGATGCAGTGAGCTGTGAATGCACTACTGCACTCCAGCCCGAGTGAGAGAGCAAGACCCCGTCTCTAAAAATAAAAAAAAAGCGATCCCCCAAACAATACTCTAACACACATACACATACTCCCTCCTCTGCTTCACATATCTACATGGCATTTTTCATCACTGACCATTCTATGTATTTTACCTAATTCTTTGTTCAGTGCCTGTTCCTCCATCACTCCCCATGAGACTGTCAGCTCCCTGAGGACAAGCATTGGTGTATCTGTGTTCGTTTCTGCAACCCCAGCACAGACCCTAACACATAAAAGTATTCGATAATAAAATTATTGAGGCTGGGCACGGTGGCTCACGCCTGTAATCCCAGCACTTTCCGAGGCCAAGATGGGCGGATCACTTGAGGTCAGGAGTTTGAGACCAGCCTGGTCAATACGGTGAAATAAACCCTGTCTCTACTAAAAATACAAAAATTTGCTGGGCGTGATGGTGATGCATGCCTGTAATCCCAGCTACTCGGGAGGCTGAAGCATGAGGATTGCTTGAACGCAGGAGGTGGAGGTTGCAGTGAGCAGAGATTGTGCCACTGCACTCCAGCCTGGGCAGACAGAGTGAGACTCTGTCTCAAAAAAAAAAAAAAAAATCCTTGGATTTTTGCCTCTTATATTTAATACTCATTCAGTGTTTAAAAGGCATATATACTCATGACCCAACAATTCCACTTCCGGAATCCTGCCTTGGGAAACCACGCACCTGAGGGTAAACCAAGGCACCTACACAGCATGTTCTCCACAGCACTATTTCTAATGGCCAAAAAAAATGTAAAGAACCTAAATACAATCGGGAAATGCAGTGCCATCCGATCTAGTACTGAGCACCAAGAGAAAGAATGAAGACCTATATCACCACCGTGAAGCATCCCAAGACATACAGCGAGTGACAACGACAAATGAGCCAAATACTCGCGCAGCATGATTTTTTTAAAAAAGCGACAAAGATTATAAAAACTACACGTTTTCCGGCTGCATGGATACGCACGTAAAAGCACAGAAACGCCTCTGCCAAGTTACCAGACTATTAACGGCAATTACCTCTCGGAAAGAAAAGGAAGGACTAAGTCTGGAGATAACTTTTAATTCGGTACAAGAACGTTCTGGTATATTCTCTCGCACGTCCACACTAATTTTAGAAGGCTGACAAACCAATGCTTTAGACTCCGGGCCGTAACTCTCAGGGTCTCTCACCCATCCTCCATTGTTGCTGCCTCCCGCGGCCACCCCCGAGCCCGCCAGCAGCGCTCCTCACTCACCAGACACGGGTGAAGGATCCCTCTTGGCCTGGAGGCGACTGGCCTGGGGCAAGAACGGGTTGTTCACCCTACGGGAAGCGGTAGGGTCAGCGGGGAACTGGCCCGGGCCGTCCCCCTGCCCGAGCCGCCAGCTGCGAGGCTGCTCACCCGAACGTGTTGGGCTCCTCCACCACCTTCATCTTCGCGGCACCTGCCGGCGCTGGGCCTACGGGGAGCGAGACCGTGAGCGGGGAGGCCGGGATGCAGAGCGCGCGCGGGGCCTGGGGACGCGGGCGGCCGGGCCACTCACCGCGGGCCGAGAGCCCGAGGAACAACAGCACCCGCACCAGCCCCGCCGCCATCGCGCCGCAGCGCCGCGCAGTCACGTGGAATGACGGTCACGTGACCGCGGGAACCGGAAGTGGCGCCCCGCGCGTGGGCTGGCAGCCGCACGGCCCGTCCAGAGGCTGAGGGGCGTACCCGTTGGGTGGGGAGTACCCGGCACCCCGGATCCGCGCCATGGGCCGCAGGAGGGCAGCGCGCGGGCCGGGGATGGAGGGCGGCCGCCCTCGGCACCTCCCGACCCGCTCCCTGGAGGCCTTCGCCGAGGAGGTCGGCGCCGCACTGCAAGGTGAGCGAGGCGTGATGGGGAGAGCCGGTCGGGGTTCGAGGGCCTGCCGGGAGATCCTACGCTGAGGCCGAGTGCCCTTCTCTCTCTCTCGTGCAGCTTCCGTGGAGCCAGGGGCGGCTGAGGGCGAGGGCGGCCCGGGCCCGGCGGCGCTGCCCTGCACGCTGGCCATGTGGGAGTTGGGCCACTGCGACCCCCGGCGCTGCACCGGCCGCAAGCTGGCCCGCCTGGGGCTGGTGCGCTGCCTGCGCCTGGGCCACAGGTTCGGCGGTCTGGTGCTCAGCCCCGTGGGCAAGCAGTACGTGTCCCCCGCAGACAGGTAGGCGCGGGAGGCCTGCCCTAGCTCGTCATTTCCAGCGCTTGGTTCCTTTCAGGGATCGTTTAGTGGGACTTGTATGTCACACCCACACCCACACCCACGTGGGCAGGGAACGTCTGTCTAGTTTGCCTCCTTTGCATACCGCAGAGCTTAGGATAAAGGAGGTTTTGGGATAATAAACGTTTGTTGAGTGAATAAACGCATGCCCTAGGTACCCCAAACAGCTGCCTCAAAACCTTGCTCATGAAGTCCGTTTGAGGATGTTTGGGGATGGCGGAATGATGTCCCTGAATCCCTAGTGAAGCAATTCTCCAGGGACATGCTTCACTTTGGGTAGTACTGGCTCCTGAACTTACCCCATGCTGTCCCTGGCAGACAGCTGGTGGCGCAGTCTGGGGTCGCGGTCATCGACTGCTCCTGGGCCAGGCTGGACGAGACGCCGTTTGGGAAGATGCGAGGTAGCCACTTGCGCCTGCTGCCCTACCTGGTGGCTGCCAACCCCGTAAATTATGGCCGGCCGTGCAGACTTTCCTGCGTGGAAGCTTTTGCTGCCACCTTCTGCATCGTAGGTGAGTCCAGGGGCTCCACAGCAGCGTGACCGGGCAACCTGGTGTTCCTGCTGTGCTCCCAGCATCGTGTTTCCTGCGGACACACCCCTGGAGGAGCGTAAGGGACGGACAGGGAAGCAGTTCAGACAGACCGGGGTTTCAGCCCCGACTGTCACTTCAGGTTTTCGGCCTGTGGAGTTGCAGTGGAGGCGGAATGGGATCGCCGCGGTACAGAGGCCAGCGTATGGGGTGCCGTTCATGACGGCAGCACTGCCCCAAGAATCCTGCTTATCCTCCGTGTCCTCCTTACTGAATTGTTGATCTAAAGAAGCCCAGATGAGGCATGGGGCAGTCTTGGTGGGAATGTTTGCGTTTCGCAACAAGGAGGGGGACTCGGTCGGTTGCAGAGGTGTGGACCGTAGCAGGGGAGGTGCAGGCTGCGGCTGGGGGCAGTTCGGGCTCTCAGGACGGTGAGCTGATGTTTGGTGAGGACGCTGCAGTTACGTGGGAGAGCCATCCGGCAGCAGGCGGTCAGGACGCACTCGAGGGGACCATTTACTTCTTTGGGTTTCTTGTTTGTCACACCATCAGGCTTTCCGGACCTCGCTGTCATTTTGCTGCGGAAGTTTAAATGGGGCAAGGGCTTCTTGGACCTGAACCGCCAGCTGCTGGACAAGTACGCAGCCTGCAGCGGCCCGGAGGAGGTGCTGCAGGCAGAACAGGAGTTCTTAGCCAGTGCCAAGGAGAGCCCCCAGGAGGAGGAGATGGGTGAGCCCTGGCGGGGCTGGGAGCTAAGGCCCTCCAAAGCCTGGGTGGTGGGAGGCCTGGTCCTGCTCTGAGCTCACTTAACAGACCACTTTCCTCTCGGCTCAGATCCCTTCGATGTGGATTCAGGGAGACAGTCTGGAAACCCCAACAGGCCTGTGGCCAGCACCCGGTAGGTCCTTGGGCTTCTTAATTTCATGATCACTCAGACCCAGGGCTCTCCTCTACCTCTGGCCTGAGCCCCTCCTGCTGCCTGGGGGTGGCGTCGTCAACAACACCCTGATGATCTGACTAGAAAACCTGAAGTGGACATCCCACTGGAGAGGTTTGGGTTTGGAGAGTACGTGGAGAGCAATCTGTCCTGGGCTTGCGGCTTTCTGTGGATGAGGTTGCCTCCAGCTAGCCAGGGAGGATGTCATTTGGGAACGTGCTCCCCCTCCCCTCCCAGGCTGCCCTCGGACACTGATGACAGTGATGCGTCTGAGGACCCGGGGCCTGGCGCCGAGCACGGAGGAACCAGCAGCAGCTGCTCTGAAGAGGAGCAGACTCAGGGACAGGGGGCTGAAGCCAGGGCCCCGGCCGAGGTTTGGAAAGGAATCAAGACGCGGCAGAGAGACTGAGGGTTGCAGACACATATATATTTGAGGCTGGGTAACGAGAAGATCTAGAGACATGAGGGACGTAGATGGGCCTGGCAGTCTCGGCTCCTCGTGGCTGCTGGCAGGACTGAGCTGTCCGGGTTCTCTCCGCATTTCCAGCACAGCTGTGCTCTGCATCCTGCCTCAGCGCGCTCGCAATGAAGCTGCAGGCCAGGAAGCCGCGTGTGAGTCTCTGTTTTTCACTCTGGGCCTGGGGAAGGGTTGGGGCGAACTCTTGGCTCTGCCTGGCGGGGCTGTGGAGCAGGTCTCGGGTGGCCACGGATATGTGCGTGAAGGACACCCTGCCAGTTGGCATGGAGCCCTTCACACTGACCACCAGTCTTGGGTGGCGTCCCTGGCCTGGGAGCCCTGTGGGGACTGGAGACCTGTGCGGTTCTTGACTCACCTGCCCTCTGCATCCCTCTGTGAGTGGAGGCTCTGGAAGCTCCACCCAATAGTGCCAGTGGCACCCTTTGCCCTCCCCAGCTGTGACTACCAAAAAATGCCTCTGCACATTGCCCGTCGTGCAGGGAGCACAGCCACTCACTGAGTCCCTGCAGACCAGCTGCCCACCGCCCCCCCAGGGCCAGGGAGCCCAAGGAAGCGGGCAGGGAAGCGCACCTGGTGGCCAAGCCCACTGTGGCCTGCACTGTGTCCCAGGCAGCTTCTGGCCAGGTCCTGCCAAGTTGGCCACCCAGATGTGGGGTTGGGTGCAGGGGTTCACAGCACACACCAGACGGACACGGCCAGGGCGATGGGAGCCACAGGGCCAGCCACGACACACACGTCACAGCACAGGAGGGGCGCCGTGGGCCCTGGCTGCACAAAGCTGGCCACAGTGAGCTGGAAGATGCTTCAGGGAACTCGGGGTGGGGGCCAGGGCCGGGGTCGGCAGGTGACGGACTCAGGGGTCCGCCTCCATGCACTTCTCCAGCTCCTTGAGTTTCTTCACGAACTCCTGCGCCTCCTTGCTGGTGCGGCCTTCCAGCATCCTCAGCGCAGACCTCACTGCAAGCGGGCGTGGGCAGATGTGTGGGAGCCGGCGACAGGCCGCTGCCCCTCCCCCCACCCGGATGCTCACTCACCCTGAGCTCTGGGCCGGCACAGGTGCAGGGTGACAGGCTGCCCAGCCCTTGCACCCCCGCCCACCTGGGGCCGGGCGACACCACTGACGCCCCCTAGGCCGAGGGCCGCCTCCCCAGCAAAGTCGTTGGTGGACAGCCAGTCGTGGTCCATGACGGTGAACAGCACACAGGCCCCGCGGCGGCGGCACGCCTCGGCAGGCACGGAGCTGCGGACAGAGGCGGGTCAGGGGAGTCTCACTCCCGCAGCCTGCAGCCCGGGGCTGGGGCTTGGGACACTCACAAGTAGAAGAGCTCGTCGTATACAGGGTGCAGCGTCCGGGTCTTCACCTGGGTCCTCTGGCTGCGGACCAGTGGGAAGAGATGCGGTGGGCCCAGCTCCACGATCACAAAGGGGTCGCTTAGGCCTGCAGGAGCACAGTCATGAGCCCCCTGTCCCCCTCCTACCATCACCCGACCCGTCCCCGCTGCAGCTCACCGTTGGCGTCCAGGGGGAGCAGGTCGGCGGCGTGCAGCACCTCCACAGCCAGCCGCTGCTCAGCCACCTCATAATGGCAACGGACGCTCAGGCGTCCAAACCGGTTCTGCTCCAGGGTCCTCTGCAGAAAGGCGGGTGAGCGCAGCTGGGCTCGGGGAGCCTCAGAGGCAGCACCCTGTCCCGGGCGCCTCCCTACCTGTTTGAGCTTGTCCAGGTAGAACTGCTCAATGCACTCACGGGTGGAACATTTGTGCAGCCGCAGCTCCTCCTTCAGCCTCTGCAGGGGAAGCGCGTCAGGAGGGGCCCTGGGTGCTGGCATTCAGCGCTGGCACTTGGGAGACCTGACTGCCCGTGGGGCCACCTCATGCTCAAGGACACAGCCTGTGCGGGGCTGCAGTTTGAACTCGGTCCCCTCATCCACGCCCCCGCCACACAAAGAGGGTCCCGCCTCACCTTATAGCTTCCATCCCTCAGGCTCTCCAGGGGCAAACCCTGACCCTCTGCGTGGAAAAAAGTGACCAGGGCCTGGGGCAGGGAAAGAAGGTGGAGGTGTCAGGGAGCCTGGCTTGTGCTGGGGACAGGTGGAGACCCCCAGCACAAAGGAGCCCAGGCAGCACTGGGGACTCAGCAGTCCAGGGCAGAGCCCTTTCTCACATCCTGGGGGGCATCGGAAGCTCCCAGGAAAGCTAGGGAAAGGCCATCACCAGAGGTCACACCTCGGCATTAATGGGAGGCGGCGCCGTGGACAGCCCTGGAGTGGCTGCTGAGCCAGTGGGGATAAAGGGAGGGGTCAGAGCAGCCCTGAGGCGGGGGCCGGCGGGAAAGGTTCCTTCACGGGGCTCTACCTCCAGCGTGAAGTGGAAGCGACTGTAGAAATCAGCAGAGACATCACGGTTTGCACCCAGCGCCTGCAGAATGGCCTGGAGGAGCAGCTCCCACAGGGCCTCCAGCACCCTGCAGGGTGGCATTAGTGACCACAGGCCAGCTGCACCTGCCCCGCTGGCCCCACCCGCAGAATGGCCTGGAGGAGCAGCTCCCACAGGGCCTCCAGCACCCTGCAGGGTGGCATTAGTGACCACAGGCCAGCTGCACCTGCCCCGCTGGCCCCACCCGCAGAATGGCCTGGAGAAGCAGCTCCCACAGGGTCTCCAGCACCCTGCAGGGCGGCATCAGTGACCACGGGCCAGTCCATCCCACCCCGCCCGCACCTGCTCAGGTTCCCCTTCACCAGCGAGGAGTTCAGCAGGGCCAGCTTCTCATCCAGGTACTTCATGAGCGGGGCCACGGCCTGCAGGCAGGGGTGTTCAGGCCGGGCTGACCCCGCACCTCTGCCCTGCTCCCAGCACACACAGTCCCATCCACGGCCCCTCGCCCCAGCACTCACCTCATCGTTCTGGATGGAGTCGGGTGAGAGGCTGATGTGCTGTACATACTTCCGGATGTCGCCCACCATCTGAGGGCAGGAGCAGCGCTCAGCATGGGCAGGGGGCACCAGGGACTGTCCCCACGCTCCGGTCTCCAGGCCCCACCCACCTTGGAGGTCAGGTGCGCTGTCACCGTGTGAGCCTCCCGATGCAGGTCATCGTCCAGGGCCTGTGTGCAGCTGAGCAGGGGGCGGGGGAGCACGCCCTCGAGTCCCGGGGCTCCCTCGGGCCATGCCAGCCCCTTCAGGGCCTGCCCAGCAGCCTTGCGCACGAGCTCCACATTGTTGAGGACCACGCAGAGCTGGGGGAGGTGTGGTCAGGCGGCGATGGGTCGGGGCCTGGTGATGGCTCCCCACCTCCTGCCGACTCCCCTCCCCAGCTGGCCACTCACCGCCTCGCTCACTGCTTCACCGGCTGCCCCTGGCTGAGTGTCCACCTTCTTCCGAAGCAGCTCCGTGTAGAAGAGCGTGGCCTCACACATGTCCTGAGGAGGGGGCGGTGGTGGGGAACCATGGAACCCTCCCCTGCCCCGTCACCTCCCCCACCTGTTCCCCTCACCCCCAGGGCCCACCCACACACCTGGCCAAGCTGGGTGCCCAGCCCCTGAGCCTGGGCAGGGTCAGGCCACGCCAGGCGCACCCACAGCTCCTGGATGTGACTGAGGCAGAGACCAGCAGTGGCTGCGGAGCTGCTGTGCCTGGAGGAAGGGTCCACAGGTTCCAGCTGGGGAGACAGGGGAGGCTGGGGTTGCTGGGGTTGCTGGGGAGGGGGAGAGGCTGGGGAGGCTGGGGTTGCTGGGGAGGCTGGGGACGCGGGTGAGGCTAGGGTTGCTGGGGAGGCTGGGGACGCGGGTGAGGCTAGGGTTGTGGGGGAGGCTGGGGGCCTGGACCAGCCCCAGTGTCCTCGGGCCAGGGCAGCTCTCACTGTATCCACGTCCACGGCTCCCTGAAGCCTCCACTTGGCCTGGTCCCGCAGCACTTGGAGCCAGAGCTTCACAGCAGGCAGGAATGGGGTGTGGATGCCAGCCAAGGCCAGAGAGCGGCTGTCCCTGTAGTGGGAGGCCGGTCAGGGCTTGGCCCTGACTCAGATGCCTTAACCAGCACGTTCCAGACTAATAGCCCCAGGAGAGCCCCCCTCACAGGTCCGGGGGCCCTCATCCAAAAGTCTGTCTGCAAGAGATAGGGCCGGGCACCCACCGGCCAGGGATGCTATCCCAGAATCGCTGGAGGTCAGCCAGGGTCAGGTAGAGCTCGAAGAGCCCCGAGGCCACCTCCAGCGTCATCTTGGGGCTCAGCTCCTCTGTCAGCACCCACGCCTCCTCAGCCACCTGTCCAGGACAGCAGAATCAGGCCACCTGCAGCAAGGAATCCCAGGCCCCTCCTGGTCAAGGGCCTCTGCCCACTTCCCCATGCCTGGCAGGTACCCGGGGTCAGGGACCCTGCTCACCAGACGCTCCAGCTGCCGGAAGGTCAGGGTGAAGACGTCCACATTGAGGATGCTGCAGAGGAAGGGACATCCCTCATCCACCTGCGCCCTCCCTGCAGGCTCTGTTGGCCCCAACCCCAGCCCCAGAACAGCCCTGAGAGGCCAGGCCCACCTGTGGAAGAGGCTGGCATAGACACCGTAGCAGGACTGAAGGTCATCATAGATGGCGTCGGCCAGCACAACCAGCCCAGGCAGGCGCTGTGGTCCTGGCTGTAAGGAAGCCTAGCTCGTACCCACCTCTCGGCTGCCCGCACCCCTCACGGCCAGGGTCCCCCACAACCGCACCTGCTCTCGGGGACTCCTGGCATTCAGGATCCTGTCATACCACTCACGGTTGCCTCTCTGCAACAGACGCCACCAAGACAGCATGGGGGTTTGCAGGGAAGAGGGAGAGGTGGGCAAGAGACCGTGGTGCAGAGGTGCAGGGGACGGGAAGACAGGGCAGGGGAGGGGAGGGCCTAGCGGCCGGCCCCCAATGGGCTTTGGAACACACCTTCAGGGCCGCAGCAACGTCCATATTCAGCTCCGTCTCGAAGGGGCAGATCTCAAAGGAGGGCTGGAAGAACTGCAGCTTGCCCAGACACCTGGGTGGGGGCAGCACGCTGAGTGGGGCCTGCCCTGCCAGCCGCCCCCACCCACGCCGACACGCGGGGCTGCACCCACTTCAGCAGCAGCTCCAGGCGGTAGACAGCGGTGCTGTTGGTGGCGGGGAAGTAGTCGCGGAGCTGGCGCAGCAGCTGCAGCCCGAACTCAGAGAAGGCGGAAAAGCTATCAGCGAGGCCCTCCTCCTGTGAGGACAGGGCCCTTCAGTGCCAGCAGCCCCGACCGCTCACTGATGAGGAGAAACACCCTCCCTTTCTCGGCCTGCAACCTGCTTCCCCCTGCATGGTCAGCCCAGCTCTGCCCTGAGAAGCACCCTCCACGGGCACAGCCGGCCTGTCCCAGCCTCGGTTTCCACCCACGCAGCACACGCAGGGCCTGTGTCCCTGCAGTTCCCACGTCCGTCCTGTAAAGGCCGCTCCCTCCTGTCGCTCAGATGGGCGCCACCTTGGTGGCCTTCCCCAACTCTGTCCTAAGTCCTGGCCGCCCCCCGAGGTGACTTCCACGAGCCTCCCGTCTCCTTTCCGCAGAGCGCTGGCCCTAGTCCATGTCATACAGTTTGTTTGTCTTTGACCCCCACGCAGGCAGGACTCTGCCCCTCGCCGACCGGCACTCAGCAGCCCCAGTCCCCAGCACTCCCTTCGCCATGGCTGGCAAGAAGGCCCCGGCTGCACCCACCTGCTCCTGGGGCAGTGAGGGCGCCTCCTCCCAGTGTGCCTGCATGTCGTCCAGCAGCCCCAGCAGGTAGCTGTAGTCCAGCGTGCAGGTTTGATGGTGGCGGCTGCTGACCTGCCAGTGCCTGCGGGGCCCAGCCCATGGTCAAGGGATATGGACCCCACCCCTGCCACGCCCACTCAGCACCACCTGCAGCACTACCCCTTTCTCGGCCCCACCCAATCAGCACTGCTGTGCCTACTCATAGCACCGCCCCTTTCCCTGCCCTCCAATTAACGCTGCTGCACCTACTAATAGCACCGCCCTTCTCGCTGCCCCACCTACTCATAGCACCGCCTCTTTCCCTGCCCACCCAATCAGCGCTGCCTCACCTACTCATAGCACCGCCCCTTTCTCTGCCCCACCCTCCCAACCACCACATCCACTCACCGCATGGTCCCCAATGCCCCACCCACCCACGCCCCGCCCACATTCCCCCATCCACTCGTAGCTCCACCCACTCACAGCACGGCCAGCTGCAAGGGTGACAGGTTGCTCTGGGCTCCGTGCAGGCAGAGGATGGTGGCGGCTGGTGTGCTGAGCTCTCCTCGCCAGCTGCTGGAGTTGGGCTAGGGGAGGAGGTCTGGCGTGGGTGGAGGCGGGACAGCCCCACATCCCCTCCTCAGGCCCCCTGCCGGGCTGTCCCAATCCCAGGAGCACTGACTACCTCCTCTGCTGGGTGCTCAAACCGCAGCAGATGGCTGAGCAGCAGCAGGTGGGACAGGAAGCCGGATCGCCCGCGCTGGCTCATGGCGGTGTCCCTCTGCAACGCAGAGCCCCCCGGGTCACCAGCTCTGTCCCAGCCCTGCGGGCGGGGGTGGAGGACCGAGATGCCCACTTTCCCCACCTGCGTAGTGATCAGCTTGAGAACCAGGTGGCAGTCTCCCTCCACACGCGAGGCACTGGAGCGTGGCTCCAGCTTGAACCAGCGGTCGACACCAGCCACAGGCACCTCCTGGGGGTAGCATGGGGGTCAGGCCCACCAGGCTCCTCCCCGTCTCCTTCCACACTGACTCTGTGAGACCCTGGAGAGACCACATGGCCTGGGCTGCCCTTCTCCGGGGAACGAGGGTGTCAGGCAACGGTGAGCACTCAGCGGAGGCCCAAGAGCAGGAGGTCCTCCAGGCAATGCCCTGCCCCTTGAAGACTGGGACACCCCCCAGGCCCTTCCCTAAGCGTCACCAGCCCCACCCCACACCTACTCACCCGGACAGGTATGTTGAGGCACCCCAGGAAGTCATCGGTGTGGTCCTCGGTGGGTCCTGCTGTCCCATTTGCACGGGCTGACTTGACGATCTGTTTGAAGTACCTGGCCAGCGCGGTGGTGGGCGTCACGCTGAGGCTCCTGGGGAGCCACTGCCCGCTGGGCCCCATGACCAAGCTGAGGGCACAGGTGAGGGGTAGAAAGGTCCCCGCAGTCATACCTGCCCATGCCCTTCAGGCCGATGACTTCATTCAGCTTCCTACATGCTTCTACCAGGGACACATCGTCGTCATGATCCCTGGTGGGGAGAGGAGAGGACCTGGCTTGTCTGGAGCCCCCAGCCCAGCCCTGAGTCCGTCCTGCTCCCTCCCAAAAGGTGCCCATTCCCCCCACCCTGCACGGTGCAGGGGCCTGTACCAGATGTCCAGATGCAGCTGGTCCGTGCTCACGTCCTCAATCTCACTACAAGGAGAACAGAGAGATGCCCATGAGGGTCCCTGGCGAGGCTCTGCCCAGGCCGGGGTCAGGGAGTTCAGAAGCAGCAGGGAGCAGGCCACAAGCTCCAGCTCTCCAGACAGGCTGCTCAGGTCCAAATCCCGATCCCACCACGTGTCGCCAGCCGTGCGGCCCCGGTGGCACAACGCCCATCTCTGGGTCTCAGTTTCCTCCTCTGGAAAGTGGCCAAAGGGCCCCACAGAGACCGGGAGCCGCTGCGAGCCACCCCCCTCCAGGCACAGCTCAACTCTGGACCCCAGGCAGAGCCCCCCTCCCACACCTAGATGGGTGAGGGCCTCACAAGAGGAAGTGCTCCTTCCAGACGGGGTTCAGCGTGCTGCTCTTCACCTCGGTGACCTGGATGCACTTAGCGGGCAGGGGACCCCCGCGCTTGCTGCCCTTGCGGAAGCCGAAGCGCTGCTCTTTCTGCGCACGGGGCTCCCGCGTGGTGTCCGAAGCAGGCAGGATGCCCAGCATGCAGTATGGGTCACTGAAGCCTGGGAACGGTAGGCGCCTCAGCCCCAGCCCCACACCCTCTGCCCTCCACGGTTGCCAGGCCTGGGTGCAGCCGAGGTCTGCTGGGTCCCCACGCACCATTGGGGTCCTTGGCCAGAAGGTTCTTGGCACGTATGACAGAGACTTTCAAGGCATACGTGGGGGCCTGTGGACAGAGGGGTGTGGGAGGCTGGTGAGGTTGAGCTGCCCCCCAGACACCCTGCTTAGCATGGAGGTGACAGGGCCTTGCCCTGTGCCCCCACCACACAGGCACATGCTGGTCACGGTCTGCCCAGGCAGCGGCGGCCTCACCTTGGCCTTCCTCACTCGCTCGATGGTCTGCGTGTGCTCCTCAGTGCTGGTGCCAAACACCTGTGAAGGGCGGGTGGGTTGGCAGGACCTAGGCAACCCCTGAAGCAAGGCTGCCACCATGCTGGGACCTCGGGCTCAGCCCCAGTCACAGACACCCGACCTCAGTCCTCACGGGTGCAGGGTTGGGGGAAGCCTGGGAGGGAGCGGCGGAGGGCTTGTGCCAAGGGGCCCGGGCATGCCCGGAGATGGTCGGCGTGATGAGGGGCACAGGAGTGCATGCGCAGGAGCGGGGGCCACAAGGGGACGGGGGAGTTCAGAGCACACTCAGGTGGAAGCCAAGTGCGTCCCTGGGGGTGCATCTGTCAGCCTGTGCGCATGTGTGTCTGTGTGCACCCTCAGCCATCTCTGTGTGTTGTGCATGGATCGGGGAGATCCTGCTGTTTGGGTGGTCATGGTGTCAGTGGGTCGGGAAGGGGTTGAGGTGGGGAAGCTGTCGGGGTCCGGGTGGGCTGACCTGCTGGAGGTAGCTGAGCAGGGCCTCCTCGTCGTCCACCTGGTCAGGGCCCATGGTCCCCGCTCGGTAAAGCACTGTGTACAGGGCCTCCTCGTAGAGCATGTCCACCTGCAGGTGGGGGAAGGGCAGCCACAGTGCCACGTCCCAGGCCCCCAGCCCCCAGCAGCCCCTCCTGCCTGCCGAGCCCAGGCCCCACCTCTGCCGCCCTGCACTGGGAGCCCGTCCGCTCCTCACTCACCCACCCACCCTGGCTCTCCACCATCACCAGACCCTGTGCACACAGTATCTGCCTATCAATGGCTGAGAGCGCGGCCGCTGCAGACAACTGCCCCCGATCCCGGCCCCCACCTTTACCTCCTCCGGGACCAGGGCTCTCAGGCCACGGCTGGGATCCACAGGCTCTGGGGGTGCTGGCGAGCCACTGCGCAGGGGGACCTGTGTGTGGGGCCCAGGGTGAGGGCCTTGATCACAGGGAGAGCCCTAGGCCTGCGGCTGGGAGGACAAGGTGGGAGCAAGGGCAGGGGGGAGGGGGAAGGAGAGAGAGGAGGGGGAAGCCCCGTGCTGGGCTGCAGTACCGGGACCTGGGGACGGCACCCTCACCTCGGGGCACGGCAGGCCCTGTCTGCCTTCCCCCTTCTTCAGCATGAGGCGCATGTGGGCAAAGAACTCCACGCCGTCCCCAGGTTTCCTGGAGGAAGGGCTGGGTCAGCTCGAGGCTCTCAGCACACTGGCCCCTGCCTGGGACCCTCAACTCCAGGGGCAGACAGGGCCATGTGACCTCCACAGTGTGGCGCGGCTAAGTGCAGGCCCTCCTTTGCACCTAGGTGGGCTGGGGCCAGGGTGGCCGTGTGTGAAGTCTGGTGGGGAGTGACCCTGTGAGCGTGTGGGGCTGGGCCCCTGGGTACCCACCAGGCCCCCGTGGCAGGCTCCTGTGGGTCGGCGCTGGCACTCCCTGGTTCCTGCTCAGTCCTGCGGCGGAAGGACGGGCACACCTGCACCTGCCTGAGCACGCTGCTCTTAATGTCCAGCAAGGTCGACATGGTGGGTGACCTACAGCAGAGAGCACGGCCCGCAGCCTCAGGTCATCCACTCCATCCTCCGTGCACCACAGAGGCCACGGCAGGCAGGGGGTGGGCGGGAAGAGGTGGGGCAGAGGCCTGGGGGCTCACCCACAGCCTGGATGGCACTGGGCACCTGTCCACACACCTGCTGGGTGACCAGCTAAGTCCCTGCACGCCCTACAGGGCGGCTTCAGGGAGGAGGTAGCGGATGCCATCAAAGGCGGGGCTGGTGCCCACCTGCAGCCGGGTGGTCCATCTAGGGGCTCCTGGGGTCTCACTGGAGAGGGAGGTGGTTGCTGCACTCGCCCCCCAACACCTCTCCCCATGACAGCGCAGGGGGAGGCACCTGTCTCCTGGGGCTGCACCAAGAGGACCAAGATCTGGGTCACAGCGCTCAGCTCCCCCAGCCCCTGTGCCCACTCTGGGGCCAGGACAGATGCCAGGTACCCAGCTCTCCTATGCAGAAGGTAAAAACTCGCCAGAACCCTGACATCCCGGACCACAGAGGAGCCTGGGTACGAAAGGCCTGTGGGTCTTCATCACCTTGACAGAGGAGGGGCCAGTGGCCTGGGCTGCAGCACTCATGCCCAGGTGGGGCAGGCAGTGCTCACATGGCCAGGAGGCCCTGGAGGGGACGGTCTGGGGGTCCTCACTCACCAACCACAGCTGGGCTCAGTGCCCCCTCCTCACCCCAGGAACTGGTCAGCAAACCTGAGGTGGACAGTGGAAGGTGGGGGCAGTGCCTCCACAAAGCAGGGCCTGCTCCCCACAGTTGGTACAAACTAGAACGTGAAGCGAGCCGGGCCCCGCTGGAAAATGCCGGGTGTGGGGGCTACAGCTCCCTCCCAGTCCATCCGGAGTCACTTCCCCTCATGTTGCTATGGCAACTGAGCCACCCTGTCAGCCTCCTGCTTGTAGTAGCAGCAGCCCAGATGTCACCACTGGGACACAGCTGCCCTCTGCCGATTCCTGGAGCCCGGGCACAGGCAGACCCCTGCCCGGAAGGCCTCACCCACTTTTTGTTTTGTTTTGTTGAGATGGAGTCTCAGTCTGTTGCCCAGGCTGGAGAGCAGTGGCACGATCTCAGCTCACCGCAACGTCCACCTCCAGGTTCAAGTGATTCTCCCCTGCCTCAGCCTCCCGAGTAGCTGGGATTACAAACGCCCACCACCACGCCTGGCTAATTTTTTTGTACTTTCAGTAGAGACGGGGGGTCACCATGTTGGCCAGGCTGGTCTTGAACTCCTGACCTCAGGTGATCCACCTGCCTCGTCCTCTCAAAGTGCTGGGATTACAGGCGTGAGCCACCGCCGCCGAGCCCACCCGTGTCAGGGAGGAAGGCCGGGTGGTACCGACCTGCACACCCCTTCAACAGGGGCAGGATGATGGCTAAGACACCACAGCCTCCTGAGACCCTCTTCCTCCACACTGGTACAGATGCAGACCCTCCACCTCTGCACTGCCTCTGCCTGCATGGCCCCCAGCAGCCCCAGGGAGGTCCCCTCCCCTCCCCCCTCCATGAAAACTGTCCCAGAGTCAGGCCACCTCTGCCCTACCACAAGAGACGTATCCACTCTTGGGATCCTGTTCCAGCCTTGCCGGTCTCTGATTTCTAGGACACCATGCTCCCCCAGCCCCCCGGGGTCCTAGCCTTGCTATCTGGGTCCCCTTCCCTTGCCAGTGCTCTCTCATCCACCTGCGGAGGGTGCCTCTGGGCTGGGCACACTGGCCGTTGCAGGGGACATGGTCATTCTCATGGAACAGGAGAGGAAATGAAGACTCAGCAGGTTCTATTGCTCACCCAGGCTCCCACGGACAGTTGGCGGTGAGGGCCAGGCTAGCCCACCCCTCCCCTGCATGCCCAGGCCAGTTCCCCTTGGCTGCACTAGACTCATAAGCTCAGTGGGCAGCACAGGGGCCCGGGCACACCGTGCCAGTGGTGGGTTCCAAATGGACCTTGTGGCGCCAGCTCCCGGGCCCCTGCTGTGTCTGTGGGGGTTCAGGGTCACCAGCCCCAATCTACACCCACACTAGCTCAGACACCATTCCTGGACATCTCAACCGGATTCCAGGGTCCCTGCAAGCTCCCGAGCCCTGGGTGCAGGCTCTCATGGGACCAGACCCTAGAGCTGAGGACAGGAAGGAGGGTTTGCAGCTCCCACCCTATGAGAGGTAATGCTTGGGGGGGCCTCACTCCTTCAAACCTATCAGTGCCTTCCCCTGTGAGCCTCCCCCCAAAAGACAGGGGGCTCAGTGGGCTGGGTACAATGCTTCCGGAAGCTGTTACCCCCACAGCCAGTCGTGAAATCCCCAGGGACCCGGGAGTCGCAGACCCCGCTTCCCCTCCCTTGCTGGGTGGAAAAGGCTGCTCCCCTTGCAGCCCCCCGAAGCCAGCAGAGCAGCCGCTGCTGGAGCTGTTGCCAGGGCAACCGCCGGCCGCATGTGCGTGTGACGGGGCGATGGGGGCTCGCAGTCCTGGAGACAAACGTGACGCAGGAGCTAAGTGGCCCGAGCTGCGGGGTTGGGGAGGGGGTGTCTTGGTGAGAACAAGATGTTCCAGGCAGAAAGAGGGGGCTCAGTGCCCTCCCTGCATTTTTCTCTCCACACTCACCTCCTCATCCCCAGAGCGGCCCGAGAGGGATGCCCTTTGCTCCCTGCATCTCAGATGGGTAAACAGAGGCGCAGGGCGGAGAGCCTATCCAAGCTCCCAGAGCCAGCAGGTGGGCCGGGGACGGCCATCCAGGTCTCTCTGGCGTCCCCAGTGCTAAGCTCCTGGGACAACCAGCTAGGCCGGCCACCCTGACCCCAACCGCAGCTCCTGCCCCTCCCGCTGCCCGTTGCTAGGATGGGTGCAATAGTGGCATCTTGGCACAGGGGTACGGAAGACTTGGCTCATCCTGGGTGCGCGGAAACCCCTTTGGTTCCCCTGGAAACCCCAGGCTGCCCGGGCAGCTGATAGCCTGGCTGCACCCAACTGCGTGGGCCCTGGGAGCCACCTGCCACAGAGGCCAGAGCTGCTGGGAATGGTGGACATACGCATCTGCCTGTGTCTGTGACCAGTGCAGGAAGCACTGACTGCCTGGGTGGCTCTCAGCACTTACGGGACAGGAGTGAGCCAGGTGCAGGGGACCCCCCGTCTTTCCCGTGGGTCCAGATGTGGTGTAACTCCTTCCCAGGCCCTCACCCTGGGACAGTAGCATGAGGCAGGATGAGCCCAGACTCTGCTCATGCCTGATGCCAGGGCCAGGACCACACTCCCATGTGTCCAGTGAGCAGAGGGAGGACTGCCAAGGAGTTCCTGCCTTGTGGCACGGGGGCGGAGCCACACCTGCCCGTCCCACCTTGCTCCCTGGCTGTCCCCCAGGCCCTGGCTGAATGGGGAATGACATTTTGCAAGGAGGATGGCACGTCTCATTTCACAGCCCACGGCAGGGGCGACTTGCCCAGAGCCCAGATGTGAAACTGGGACTCTGAGCCATCTCCTGCCACGCCATTTGGGGGCTGGGGGTGGGGGAACAGTGAGGTAGCTGAGTCTGGGGGTAGCAGAGCAGAGGCTGGGTCAACCTTCCTCCCCAGTGCAGGATGTCTGGGAACAAACGCCTTCAACGTGCTGGGGGCGCCCTTCTTACCACATTTGGGGCAGGGGGGTGGCTGTTGGTGCGCTGGGTGTGTGCCTGTCAGGGGAGGTGGCGGGACGTCTGCCCCACAGGCTGGCTCTCCAAGCCGCCCTCTTGGTCTTCTCTCCAGCTTCCTCACTCTTCCTCCCTCAGCGCCCCGACTCCCCTTCACTAGGGCCTGGGGGTTTCCCGTGGGAATCTCTCCCTGGTCTGACTGACTCCTCCAGACGGCCCCTGCGCGGCTGATGGCAGTGCCCAGGTGCAGGTTACCTGGCGGGCCCGCTACAGACGCTGCTCCCCGGGGTCTCATTCCAGTCGAACCCCGGGAATCTGCATTCTAACAAGTGCTGCCGGTGGCCTTGGGCTCCCTGAAGTCTGAGACCGGCTGCCAAGGTCCGGCTGCTGGCGCCCAGCAGGAGCGCAGGAGACCGGAGCCCGCGGCGCCTTCTTCCTCCCCTCTCCTGTGTCTGCGCAGCGCTCTCTCCTCCCTCTGCTCACCGACCCCCTCCCTGCCCCGCCTCGCGGCACCCCCTTTCCCGGGGCTCCGGGCGCCCGCGGGAGCCGCACCCTCAGTTCTATGGGGGTCTCTCCCCTTGGAGGGGGCGGGCGGTCCGGGGGGAGTCTGGGGGCGGGCCTAGTGTGTCATTTTAAACTTCTCCCCCGGAGACCCCGGCCCAGGCCAAGAGCCCACAGCCCTTCGCGGAGTGGGGCTGAAGGAGGGGCGACTTTACACTCGCAGGGATTTGGGGGGGCCTGAAGGGCCCTACGAGGACCTGCGGGAGGACGGAAGAGACGAGGGCGCTGGGGGGGGCGCAGCCCGCCCGGGAGGGGTGCTGGGAGGCCCCGGGCCCGTCTGCTCCCTGGGGAGGCGGGCGCGGGAGTCGAAGCCTCGCTTGGCGGCCCAAGTGCGGGGGAGGCCGTCGTCAGCGCCCCGATACCACCCCCGTCCGCTCCGCAGTGCGGACCCCACCGCCGCACCTGCTCCTGCGCGCTCGGAGAAATGCCCCCGAGACCCCGCCCCTCCGAGCATGCGCGGCCTCAGTTTCCCCAGGGCCGAGGGGGCGTCGAGACCTTCCCACCGCCCCCCGCCTCGGAGGCCACCCCCGTGACTCCTGGGGCACCCGGGCCAAGGGGGCGGCGGCCGTCGGTCAGTCCGGGTGGGGGCGCGGGGCCGAGCCCCGACGGCTGCCCAACAGCACCGGCTGCAGCCCGCGGCACTCACCGTGGGCCGGCGCGGGGAGACGGGCTCCTGGGGCGCCGCGCTCGGGCACCAGCTCGGGAACGCCGAGGCTCAGCGACCGTTCCCAGCCGCGCGCGCCGACGACTGAGCAACTGCGGGGCGGACGCCGCTGCGGGGGCGGGGCCTTACTGGGGGCGGGGCCGGGCCTGACGGGGCGGGGCCTGCCCGCGCTCGCCCCGCCCACGACCCCGGGCTCGCCCCGCCCCCCGCGCCCACTGCGCCTTGGGGGACCGGGCCGGGGTACCTGTGCCTTGAGCCGCGCCGCAGCCCCCTCCCCCGGGGTGCGGGGCTGTCAGTCAACTCACAGGTGTCTGCGGGACGGGGAGCGGGCTTGGGTGCCTCGGGACTCCGCCTGGCCGCGCGCGCCCTCCCTGTGGCACGTGGGGTCTGGGAGGGGTTGATCGGCAGGGTCTCCTCCGCGGACCCCAGGGAAGCCAGAGTCACCAAGCCCGGCAGCGCCGCAGACCTTTCTGGAAGGGCCTGGCTCAGGGACCCCTTGAGGGCCCCGCCGCTCTCTTCTCGGAGCAGGGGTGCGTCCTGCAGCAATCCACTCGGGACGCCCCACGCCCGCGCGGACGGCCTGTGGGGCGATCGTCCCTGAGGCTCTGGTGAGGGGCCAGTTGGCGCTTGTGGGGTCACAGCCGGCCAGAGCCCCTGGGGTGTAAACTGGATCCGGCCAGCCCCTCCCGGGCGGCTCCCCACTCTCCCTCCGCCGCGCTGACCTGGAACCCAGCGGGTCCGCGGTCTCCTGCAGGGTTTGTTAAGGCATTGATGGGTCCCGTCCCCAACCCGCTGGTTCCCAAAGTCTGGGCAGGGACGTGATTTGCATTTTTTCCCTTCTTTTGAGACAGGGTCTCAAAAAAGCTCTCAAAGCTCTGGACCAGGATGGAGCGCAGGGGCGCCATCTCGGCTCACTGCAGCCTGGAACTTTCCAGCTCAAGCGATCCTCCCGCTTCAGCCTCCCCAGTAGCTGGGACCTCCCGCAGGCTATTTTTTGGGGGGGGTTATTTTGTGGAGATGGGGGTCTCCCTATGTTGCCCAGGCTGGTCTCCATCTCCCGGGCTCAAGGGGTCCCCCTTCCCGGCCTCCTAAGTCGCTGAGATCACAGGCGCGGTCCCCGCGCCAGCCGGTGCCTGTACTTCCCAGCTGCAGGCTGCTGCCGCAGGTCTGGGGACCCCACTTGGAGAAGTCTGTGCTAAGCACCGCCCTGGGGGGTCCTGAGGCTCTGGGACTTGCCAAGAGCGCAGCGCCCCGGCCCCATCTGCGCTTGGCCAAATACAGCTGGACACTCATAGCCCTTTGGGGGTGGGGGGTGCGGGGTGTCAGACTTTGGAGTTTTCACCCGAAAGGGCACCAGGGCAGCCCAAGGCAAGACGGGCTTCCAGAACACAGCTCCTCAAAGGGAGGGGGCCCGTCTGCCAACAAGTGTTTTGACTTCTGGATCCCAACTCACTCCCATCCATGCCCGCCCCGCACCTGTCTGTGCAGGATGGGGGGCAGGACCATTGGGTGGGCTCTCCTTCCAGACGCTCGGCCCCAGGCTCTGCCCGATCCTGACCCTGTACAGCCAGGCCGGTGGCGGAGGTCAGGGAGCTTGCAGGAAATGCAGGGACTGCCTGGGACAGAGACACGCGGGGGAAGCAGGGGAGGGGGCCTGGGCCCTGAGCCCCCCTCTGCAGCAGCGTCCCTCCTGAGGGGCTGGCGGGTCTGGAGCCAGGGTCTGGGAGCGATGCCCCTGCCTCTGCAGTCTTGCACCAGGTTCTGCCCACCTGTTGGAACAAACACGGGCCGGTTGCCATGGTGATCACACGGGCTTTGAGTGAAGGGACAGGCTCTGCAGCCACAGTAAACAGGAAGTTGGGAGGGGCAGCTGCTGCTCAGACCCCACGAGGGCACCAGCCCTCAAACCAACGCTGCAGTCTGTCGGGGCGGAAGCGCGCTTGGAGACCTCTGCCCACTCTTTTCTAGGTAGGGAGACTGAAGTCCAGAGATGGGAAAGGGCTTTTCCAGGGCCACAAAGCAACAAGCTGAGTCCCAAACCAGCCCTGGGCCTCCATTTCCCCAGGATAGGATGGTCGCTAGGACCATCGCCTCCACAAACGTTCAGTGCAGAGTCACAGAATGAAGGAGCTGAGTGAAGACCCACTCAGTGACCGACGCTTTCATTCTCCAACTTGTTCTGAGACTGAAGACAGGCTGACCTGGATCAAAGTCCCAGCACCCTGCTCACCCCTGCCCGAAGGCGACCCTCCACGGCCCGGGCCTCAGTTTCCCTCTTCTGTAAAATGGGGACAACAGCAGCGCCCACCTTGGGTGCAGCTGGGGACCTCGGTGAGCCAAGCTCAACTCACAGCAGGTCAGCTTCAGTCCCAGCTGGTGGGGTGGGAACTGCGGCCACCCAGCCAGAACTCCGGCCCCTCTAGTGACCCAATTTACCTTTACATAGCTCGGGGCTGGAAGCCCATTCTTGTGTGAGTCCCCTCCCACTAAGAGACAGGGCCACCCACCCTCCCCACACTTGAGCCCCAGACCTCACTCCGAAGGGGCTACCCTGGCGTCTGCCCTCGAACCCGAGTGCAGACCGCTGCTGTGCTCCGGGGACAGTGAGGGGATGGCACAGGTGCAGGAACACCTCCTGGCGATGTGTCGGGACACAAGACCCCCTGCCCAGATGGGATCAGAGCTTGAGGAGGCTGCTGGGGCACCAGGGCTGCTTGTGTAAGGCTGACAAGAGCCATTTTTCAAGCCTGGCTCTTTTCACATTCTCAGGACTTTGTGCTGGAAAGGGGCTGGCAGCCAGGGAGAGTAGCTTTTCCTCCTTAGGGCGGGGGAAAACACCAGGCTCTGGATACGCAGGCACCAAAGCCGCTGAAGCACACAGGTGAGGCCATGGCAGAGTCAGACACCCGCTCCTGTTCCACACTCAGGAGCACCGCGCAGGGCCCTGTGCTACCACCCTCTGGTGGCAGCCCTAGAAATTGCAGGCACAGCCTCCCAGAAGCCACCCCCAACTTCTCTCTGAGGAACCAAGCAAGGAAAGGCAGGGCCGTTGGACAGCTCGTGGGATCAGAGCCGGGGGACTCTGGCCAGGGACCCTGCCTGTCCCGGAGCTGGAGGACCCTGAAGACACTGCCAGAACGTGTTCCTTGCCCACACTGGCCCTGGGGTAGAAGTGCCCCATCAAGAGAGGGGCTCTGGGTGGGAGGGCCTTGGCCCAGGTCTGGCCTCATGCCTGAGATGCTGGTCTCCAGAGCCCACACCAACAGCTCCGGGAGTCCTGCTGCCAGGTGTGCACAGGTGGAGCCAGCTGGAGGTGACCGCCCGCTGCCACGTTGGAGTTTTCTCAGGCCTCCATGCTGCTGCAGCATCTGTGAGGTGTCCAGGGCGGGGTGGTGACAAAGAAGTGGGCCCAAGACACCATGCCTGGCTAGTGTGGGCAAGGAACACGTTCTGGCAGTGTCTTCAGGGTCCTCCAGCTCCAGGACAGGCAGGGTCCCTGGCCAGAGTCCCCGGGCTCTGACCCCACGAGCTCTCCAAGGGCCCTGCCTTTCCTTGCTTGGTTCCTCAGGGGGAAGTTAGGGGCAGCTTCTGAGAGGCCGTGCCTGCAAGCTCCCAAACAAAGGCCACTCATGTGCCAGAGTCCAGCAGGCAGGACAGCCCCTGCTGCAGTGAGGCTTGGATGGCAGGGAGGATGGTGCCCTGTACCTTGGCCAGGCTTCCCACCAGCCTGAGGGTGGGGGTGTCAGAGGCCCTTTCCCAGCGAGCTGGGCTTCCGTGCTCACTGTGGTTAGGGGCCCAGCAGGGAGAGGCAAGGCCCTCAGTGCGCATCATTCTACACAGAGCTGGGGGTGGGAGGAGACTCCTCCCAGCTCTGGGGGCTTCAGAGTCCCTCCTTTTCTTCTTTTCTCTTTTTTTTTTTTTTTTTTTTGAGACAGAGTCTTGCCCTGTTGCCCAGGCTGGAGTGCAATGGTGTGATTTCAGCTGTAACCTCTGCCTCCTGGGTTCAAGCGATTCTCCTGCCTCAGTCTCCCAAGTAGCTGGGATCACAGACGCCCGCCACCATGCCTGGCTAATTTTTGTATTTTTTTTTTAACTGGTAATCAATTTATTAAAATAGTTGACTTAAGCATCTGCAGTGGTGACTTCCACTTCAACTCCACTTCAATACTGATGGAAGTCATCTGCGGAACAATCTCAGAAGAACTGTGCAAGTCAGTGAGTCACTTGTGGGTTTTCACCTGGAGTTTTTCTTGTAGTGATTCCCAAAGTCTTGGTCGTCGGATTCAAACTGGTCCTTTCCCACTGAGATTCTTTTCCTTTGCGCCTCTGATCAAGTCAGCACACACCTTTTCCAGGGATTTACCCTGCGGCTCGTTAGAGCGATTTGAATTTGTTGAATTTTAGTGAATTGCCATCTCCGGCTCCATGGGAGTTCTTGCGGTATCCTTAGAAGCCATAGCTGCTACGCGGCTTCCTGACCAACTTGTTCCTCGGCGAGAGCGAACAGCGGTGAGTCAGGAGCAGGAGCGTGTGGATCAGCGATCCACAGCACCTACCACTGCGTCTTCCTCAAAGACCTAATTTTTGTATTTTTACTAGAGACAGGGTTTCACTATATTGGTCAGGCTGGTCTTGAACTCCTGACCTTGTGATCCATCCACCTAGGCCTCCCAAAGTGCTAGGATTACAGGCGTGAGCCACCATGCCCGGCCTAAGTTTTGTATTTTTAATGGAGATGGGCATTTGCCGTGTTGGCCAGGCTGGTCTTGAACTCCTGACCTCAGGCGATCTCCCACCTTGGCCTTCCAAAGTGCGGAGATTACAGGCGTGAGCCACCGTGCCCAGCCTCAGAGTCCCTCCTTAAAGGCACAGCCCAGGCTTGGGAGGCTGAGGCAGAATTGCTTGAACCTGGGAGGCGGAGGTTGCAGTGAACCGAGATCGCGCCACTGCACTCCAGCCTGGGTGACAGAGTGAGACTCCATCTCTAAATCAGTAAATAAATAAATAAGGCACAGTCCGCATCTAGGAGTGGGAACTTGCCTTATTCGGTGAAGGGCGTCCTAGAGGAAGGGCAGAGGCCCAGGGAAGGAAGAGCCCAGGCCACATGTGCCCAGTGCTTTTCTCGAGCCCATTCCTATTTTGTCCTAAGAGCTGGATAAGCTCCTGGCAGGTGCAGGAGCCTTTGGACCAGGCTGGGCCAGAGACAGGCAGGGTGGATGGGACCAGTTGTCCCAGCCCCTTCCCACCCAATGGGCCGAAGCCAGGAACCCCCACCCCAACTGGGCCCAACGGCTTCCTCAGACCAGGAGGTGCCTGGGGGGTCTCAGGCTGCCTTTCCTGAGCAGGTGCTTCAGGACGCCCCCAGACCCAGAATCAGGGTCAGCTGGGGATGGATCCCAAACCCAGCACTCCCAGGCCCCTCCCTGCTGGAGCTGGCTCAAACCAGTTCCAGCCAGTCTGAGTCAGTGCAAGGCCCTCCAACCTGGCAACTTGTTGTCATGGTAACCACAAGGGAGGCTTCCCATCAGTGGCACCCGGGAGTGATGGCGGGGCCGGGCCTCAGGTCCAGGAAGGTGACGGGACCTGGGGACCAGCAGCCTGGCCAGGAGCCTGTGTCCCCGGGGGCAGTGGCCAGCATGGTGGCCAAATCTCCTAGCCTCCTCCAGCCCAGCCAGACCCAAGTCCCAAGGGACCTGAGAGGCGGAGGGCACGTGTGGCCAGCCCGACTGCCAAAGTCAAGGGAGGGCTCCCCGAGCGCCAGCTCAGGCCTGGCTAGCCCATCCCACAGGGGCTGGGGTTCCTGCACCTGTGCACCGGACTCCTACCTGGTGGCTCTAGCCAGCCCTGGATGGGCCCTGTGAGGAGAGCTCTGGGCACCTGGGGTCCCTGCTCCCCAAGGAAGTCCTCTGCCAGGGGCAGCAAGAGCAGCCTCGAGCCCCAGGGAGGAGTCCCCTAGAGCAGGCCAGGGAGGTGCAGGCGAAGAGACCCTGAGCCTGGGGGTCACCTTGGCTAGAGGGGTATCACCCGGAGGGGTTAACACGGGGCCGGAGGCAGGACCGGAAGGAAACCCTGGGGTGTAGGGCTGGACCTCCGGATGGGGGGGAGTGGCCCTGTGGCACCAGTGGGCTCCCACCCCCACAGCCAGGGGAGCCGGGGACAGGGCAGAAAAGGACACACCCAGCAGGCCGCAGTCTGTGCAAATGCTTTAATTGGTGGATTCTTAGATACAGTGGTAAACCCATCACCCACAATTCTTTATTAATTCCGAGGCACCTCATGCCGGGAACACGCTCTCCCTTCCGCTAAACAAAGGTGACCGCGTTTCAGAGCTCTCCTGTTACAAGGTTCACGTCCTTCGTTAGGCCGAGGACTGTGGTACCACAAAAGGAACATTTCATTAGCTGAAATCACTACGATTGGCTAGAAACATCCGTTACTTTAGAATACGTTAACTACAAAATATACTGAATTTCCATATATATTAACCATATACATGTGTAACTATTACTAAATGTAGTTCAGTCATTACAAAATAAGACATTCTGGGAGCGGGCTACAAATATTCAAACCAGCTGAATTCCCCAGGTAAGGCCCCCTGCTTTATAAACAAACCACACACGTCAGACCGAGAGCTCAATGACTGCAGGGCACGTAACCAGGAAAGCGAACAAGGCACTGGCACTGCAGAGCTGCCGGTGGGGGCGGGGGGCACTGCCGGCTCGGGGGGGCCTTCGGAAGTCACCTCTAACTTCGATTCCCAGCTCACAGCAGCTGCGCTCCCCTTCCCAGGGCCCTGGGCCGCCCTCCCTGCATTCTTGGCTCCTTTGGGGAGCACCTGCCCCGCCCCCTTGGAACCCTGCACTTGGGCCACCGGGACCCAGCTCCAGCTGCCGGGGCGCACCAGGGCAGCAGGGCCAGCTCCAGCCCCAGGGCTTGAAACGAGACTGAGGAGGGCCCAGCTCACTAGGATGCGGAGACTGGGTGGTGGGTTGGAGGCTGGAGGGCTGGGAGCGTCGGGCTGTGTCCCCCAGGGCTTCCCATCTCTGTCCACTGCACCTTTCTGCTGGGAGGTGACTGGCACCCAACTTCACAGCCAGGCCACTTCTTACAGCGGTTCAGCCACGGCTCAGGCAGCCCCAAGAGGCCTGGCCGGCCCAGCCTTTGCAGAGGGCCCAGCATCAGGGCGGCTTCTGAGTGGCACAGCCTCCCCAGGAGAGGCCATGCTCAGGTAACCTCAGGACGAAGAATTCCACACACAGGCCACCCAGGGCCCTCCACCTGGCGCTCCCCGGGGGGGCCATGGCTGTGGGCTCTCCTGGAGAAAGCACCCCGTGTTTGCCAGGGGTGGTAGCAAGGCTGCCTCCGGAGGACGTGAGACACAGACACCTGAGGTGGCACCCTGTGCACAGCACAGCTCCATCCCTGTGACCCGGCCACTGAGGGGCACCCCCGCCAGCAGGCTGCCTGGATAGGAGTCCTCACACAGCCTCCAGCCCTGGTCTGGACCTGGCCCTGTGGCCCTCTAGACAGCTGGCACCGGTGCACACTTGCCAGGGTCTCAACGCCAATCCCGACCTATGCGGATCTTAGCTGCCCAGCGCTCTACAGCCCGAAGATCCCGGGAGCACAGAAACCTCAGCAGCACTTTGTACACAGCCCTGTTGACAAAGATCCGGGGCAAGACGGAGCCACACAGCCTGGGCACATCCGAAGCAGATGGGAGAGCCTGGTCCTGGCCCGCGGTGGGGCTGCAGTCAGGTGGGGAGGGCGGGACACTCGGAGGCCGCCTCCTCACACTTCCAATAATAATGCAACCAAAACCTTTATATAAACAGTTTATTTACTCTAAACAGCAACACAGACAAAACGCCATATAAACACAAAGGAAGTGGCGCAGAACCGAGATGCTGACCTGGGGTCTGAGGCTCAAAAGCAGCACAGCCCAGGTTCTAGAGAGGAGCGGCAGAGGGAGGGTGCGTTTCCATACAGCCAGCCGGGGCCAAGTGCAGCTCTGCACGGTGAGAAGCATGCCTGCATCCCGGAGCGAGCACTCGCTGCTGCGGGACTTACCCAAGTATAAAAGTTTATAATTTTACAGCAGTTGAAATACTGACATCAATATTAAAATAAAAGCGAGTTTTACATAACAATCAAAAATACAAAAGACTGAAGGAAGAGACCCTGTATGGAAACGGGCAATTCAGCGAATTGAGACCGCGCACCCGCGGCGGCAATGGAAGATGGCGCCCGCCCAACCCCCCCAGGTGACTCGCCATTGTACGGAGCAACTTTAGATTCGCAAAAATGTTGTAAACAAGTTCTTGCCAAACCAATCCCTTCCTTTTGACGATGCCACAAGGTCGCTGCTTATGAGGGCGCAAACTTCTTGGCTTGTGCTCGGACCCTTTTCTCGTACTCCACTCTGTTTTGGCTGAGGAGGTCAAAAGAAAAGACACGTGTTAGGGGGCTGAGCAGCCTGGCCCACACGCCGGCCCCGGAGCCAGCTCGGCAGACCAGGCTGCAGGACGGGACCTCCTGGGTGAGGGCAGTGTGGAGCTCGTGACAGTAACAGAAGCAGGAAGGCCTGCGTGGTGGGGAGCCCAGGCTGGCTCTGACCTGGCTGAGACTGTCCTGTGGTCTGAGGGGGGCAGAAGGGCAGGGAGGAGAGGAACCCATGCTGGGTGGATGTGGTGTCAGAGGAGGACAGGGGCCCCGCAGGGCTGCGAGGAGGGCTCAGGCCCCAGGGGACCCACGCCAGGGGGCCTGCAACATCGTCACCAGTGCCAAAAGTCTGGTCCTAACTAGCAATCAGCAGCTTCTCTTTTCTGTAAGTCTAGGGCCAGCGCTAATAAACTGAAAACACTGATTGCTTGCCACTGTTCTTCGCCAACTCCCCAAAACAGACAGCAACTTCTAGAGGGTTCTTCCATGAGGCGCTCAGCCCCAGGGGCAAAGATGTGGGAAGGCACGCCTGGTTCGGAAGGGGGTGGTGCCCCAGCTGGGCAGTGCAGGCGTTATCAGGGCACAGGTCCGGAGCTGGGCAGAGTGAGGTTCCGCCTGCAAACAGCTGCCCAGGCTGCACCTAGGAGCTGATGGGACGCGGGGCAGTGTGACCGTGAGGATGGGGGAACACTGTGACATTCCTGGAGGTGGTTCCTGAGGTAGCAGTCCTGGCAGTCTCGCCAGGATTGGACCCGGTCTGAGACACTGAGCCAAGCCAGGCCTGGTGCAGAGCGAAGGCCAACAGCCCAGGACGGCAGCAGTGCAGGCGCCACCCCCACCCAGGCCAAGGGCCTGGACTGCACCCCAGACCCCAGCGCCCTCCTTGGACCACCAGCTGGCCCCAGGGCAGAGCAGCTCAGCTGGGTGGGCGTGGAAGGAACCAGAGGCAGTGGCCACATGTCCCGGCTCTGCCTTTACCAAGCAGGGGCCCCCTGAAGAGGCACCTGCCAGGGCAAGAACACGGGCCAAGGCCTCCACGAAACCCAGGAAAAAGGATTGAAACCTGCAAACATGCTTCACACAGGGCGCTTTTCAAGTGGATGTTTGCAGCAGAAAGAACGTCTGTTTACGTGAACACAAGTGTACAGTGCAGCCCAGCAGGCACCAAGCCCAGGAGACACAGCGGAGAGTCACACAGGGCGGGGAACTGTGACCCTGCCTGGCCCATGCGGCAAGTGGGAGCCACAGCCCAGCTCCGGAGATGGCCGGCAATCACGCCCACACCATGCTCGGGATGGCAGACCAACTAAGGGCTAAGCAGGAAAACATTCCCTTTTTTTTTTGAGACGGAGTCTCGCTCTGTCGCCCAGGCTGGAGTGCAGCGGCATGATCTCGACTCACTGCAAGTTCAGCCTCCTGGGTTCATGCCATTGTCCTGCCTCAGCCTCCCAAGTAGCTGGGAATACAGGTACTGGGACCACCATACCCAGCTAATTTTTTGTATTTCACATCACTAGACGACACCGGGGTTTCACCATGTTAGAGCGCAGGATGATACTCGATCTCCTGACCCCGTGATCTGGCCCGACTCAGTCTCTCTACAAAGTGCTGGATTAAAGGTGTGAGCGCACCCGTGCCCGGCCTGCTTTCTTTTTTTTGAGATGGGTCTTGCTTTCGCGCGCGTACCCAGCTGGAAGTGGGCAAGTGGCTGCAAATCTCCAGCTCACTGCAGGGCATCCCAACCTCCCTGGCTCCAAGCGATCGCTCCCACCTTCCAAGCCTCCCCAAAAGCTGGGACCTAGGCAGGGCGTGCACCACCATGGCCTGGCTTTTTTTTTTTTTTATTTTTTTTGAGAGTGGTCTTGCCTTGCTGCCCAGGGCTCGTCTCCACTCCCAGGCTCAGGCAAACCCTCCGCAGTGCTTGCAAGGCATTGGGATTTACAGGCGGGAGCCACACTACCTGGCAATTTTTTTTTTTTTGAGACGGAGTCTCAACTCTGTCGACCAGGCAGGGGGCGGGGGGGGGGGGGGGGGAGGGGGGGTCGAGTGACAGTGGCCCGGATCTCCAGCTCACTGCAAGCTCTGGCCTCCGGTGTTTCACGCCATTCTCCTCGCCTTCACAGCCTCCGAGTAAGGCCTGGGACTACAGGCGGCCCCGCCACCGACCGCCAGCTAATTTTTTGTAAATTTTTAGTGAGAGACCCGGTGGTTTCACGCGTGTAGGCCAGGATGTTGCTCGATCTCCTGACCTCAGTGATCCGCTGTCTCGGCTCTCAAGTTGCTGGATTTAGCAGGCTTGAGGCCACCCGCCGCCCTGCGGCGCAAGATTTTTAATTTTTTTGTTAGAGATGGCGTCTTGCTGGTTGGCCCGATCTGGTCGTTGACTCCCCCAAGGGCGGGGGGGGGGGGTGGGTTCAACCAATCAGGCTGGCCGCACCTTGGCCTCCGCAAAAGCCTGCGCGGGAATTATATGGCGTGAGCCACAAACCAGCATGGCCTGGAAACATGTTTCGCAAGGGCACGGTGGCTCACGTCTGTAATCCCGCCGGGCAGCTTTGGAGGCAATGGAGGGTGGATCACCCTGAGGTCACGGAGTCTCAAGATCCCAGCCCCTGGCGACAAACATGTGAAACGCGTGTCTTTACTAAACAACAAATAACACAAAAATTGCGGCAAGTGTGGTGGTGTCGCACGCGTGTAATCCCAGCTACTTGGAGGCCTGAGGGCAGGAGAATCACTTGAACCCAGGAGGCGGAGGTTGCAGTGAGCTGAGATCACACCACTGCACTCCAGCCTGGGTGACAGAGTGAGACTCTGTTTCAAAAAAAAAAAAGAAAATATTTTCTACCTCAAGGGCCACGTGACACTCGTGAGCACTGTGGCTTCCTGCCCAGTGGAATGCGTTTCACGGAACTCCTAGGGCACAGCAGGCCAACACACAAACCCAGGCCACGCCACATCCCACGAGCCAGTTCCAGCAATGGCTCGGCCGACTGAGCGTCTGTGAGGTGTGCAGGGGAGCCAGGCTGAGGCTGGGGTGGCTGCTGTGACACTTGCTCCCTGCCTGGGGCCTCTGTGCCACCCTCAGCCAGCAGGGAGGGCACCTTGCAGACACCTGGGCTGGGCCTGCATCCAGGGAGAAACACATGTCTCCAAAGCCAGGTGCCTTCTGTTTTTTGAGATGGCATCCTGCTCCGCTGCCAGGCTGGAGTGCCGTGGCTCCATCTCCGCTCACTGCAACCTCCGCCTCCTGAGTTCAAGCCATTCTCCTGCCTCAGTCTCCCGAGTAGCTGGGATTACAGGCATCCAGCATTACGCCCAATTAACTTTTTGTATTTTTAGTAGGGATGGGGTTTCACTATGTTGGTCAGGCTGGTCTCAAACTCCTGACCTTGTGATTCGCCCACCTTGGCCTCCCAAAGCGCTGGGATTACAGGCGTGAGCTACTGTGCCCGGCCAAAACCAGGTGCTTTTCCTCACAACCTGTGCGGGCTGGGCTTAGGGCAACGGTGACCCCTCAGCCTCCCACTCCCGACCAGGAGATGCCCCCTGGAGGGAGCGGGCCTCCGATGCCCACGGTGGCAGGCATGTGTGGGGTGGCTGCAGGGTGAGCCTCCTGGGTCCCCGGCCACTGGGTCCCCCGAGACCCCCTCAGAGGTGTGGGCACCCACGCTGAGATAGGGCTGGGTTTCTCAACGCTGCAGGTGCAGCAGTGGGGGTCGGAGCCCCCGACCCACCTTCTTATGGACCTGCCCACAGCAGCTGCAGACGCGGCCCCCAGGGCTGGGGACAGGAGAGGCAGGCGCGTGGCGTCTGCTCAGGGCAGGGTCCTCCCGGCTGTCCCCAGCACTGTTTGGCTGTCGTCTGCATCCTCACTCACACCAGGCCCTCCTCAGTGCAGACAGTGACCCCAGGACCACGGGAACCCTTGTAGCCACAGCAGCACCTCACAGGGGCCCGGTGAGAGCCCAGGGCCTATGTGACAGCATCACATCGCTGACCCGTGCTGGGCCCCCACAGGAGGAGCCAAGTATGGGGGGCTGGGGATAAGCAGCAGGGGCAGTGCAAGAGGTTGGGGTCCACAGGAGACTGAGCAGGTGGACAAGCCCCTCAGCATGGCCTCCTCCGGCACCCATGGCCAGGTCCTTCCCCTCCTAGTAGGGGCCCAAGACAGCCCCCGTCACCTGGCCTGCTCCCTCCCCCAGACAGGGCTCCGGCACCGTCCACGCCCACGGCACACCCTGTGCGTTGGTGCCTGCTGCCCACAGGGTTTATGCCCCCGACCTTCCCCTGGAGGTGCGGACCCCGGCTGTCTCTAGGGTGAGCCTGTGTGCTCCACTCCCCTCCTGCCAGGCGGCCTTGGCTGGGATGGAGAGGAGCTGCCAGCAGCGGGGCGAGGGCTGCTACTAACCAGTAAATCGTGTAGGCCTCTGCTTGAGCTGGATCTTGGATATTTGGTTCATTTAGAAGTTCCTGTATTCCTAATAGGATCTGTGCCAGAAACAAAAACACAAGACAGGGGTGTGAGCAGTCTGAAAGGGGGACACGGTGAGACTCGGCCTCAGCCACTGAGAATGACCGCAGACCCACGCGTCCAGAGGGGAGACGGAGGCAGCCCTGCCCATATGGGTGGCGGAGGCCCCGTACCTGTTTGATTGTGATGGCTGGCCTCCAGTCCTTGTCCTCCTCTAAGATGGACAGGCACACTGTCCCCGAGGGGTACACATTCGGGTGAAATAATGGTGGTTCGAATTTACCTGGAGAACGAGGAAGAAAGGAAGCGCTTTTTGCAGGCAGGCACTGTCCCCGAGTCATGTCCTTCCCCGCCGACCCCCTCCCAACACTGGGCCACTGGACTGGTAGCCAGGTTATGTGGCCAACAACTTTCCAAAAAAATAACATTGTGGCCACGAGGAGGCAAGAGGAAGACATGTCCACCTTTGCACGCAGGGCACAGAGCCTTGGGGACACGGCCGCAGGCCAGAGACGAAGCTGTGTCTCTCCCAGGACAGAAATCCCGGCACAGCCAGGCAGTCTGGGAACACAGGCCCCCGGGGTGGCCACTTCATCTGTGGCCCCCACGTCCTTCCCAGCTGAGCCAGACTCAGGGGAGATAGGAGGAACTGTGGGAGATGTCCAAGGACATAGCCAAGGCCCTTCCAGAGTCGGCAGTTCCTACGCAGACCCTCTGCTTCCAGGACACATGGGCTTTTAGCACCCTGTGTTATTTCTTTACAAAAAAGCAAAGAAGTTTGCCACCATTAGCCCCATCGGGGCCATCACCGTTGATATTCTAGGCTATTTCCCGTCTTTTCCCGGGCATTCTCCCTCAATGCTATGGAGGACACACAGTGCGGCAAGTCCAGCGCAGCCTGAGGAATTCTCTCAAAGCCGACGCGCCACGAACACCTACAGCTTCCCGAACACTCGCTCCTACCGACCACTGCGTCTGCCCCGTAATCCCAACTCCAACACCCATGGGCAGCTTCCTGGACTTCAGGTACCACGGAGCGCACAGGGCACACGCCCTGGAGAATGCAGTGAGGACACCACCGCAGACCGCCCCACGCTGCGACCATCCCACACGGCGGACCATCCCACGCTGCAGGAGCCCACAGGCGACACCAGCAGCTGCGTGGCCATCCTGAGTGTGAACACTGGCGTGAGCGCGTTGCTGTGCAATGTGGGGTCACGGCATCGGCCCTCAAGCCGTGCTGCTTCCAGGCTGCTAACGCGGGCTGTCGCTGGTGGATTCCAGCCACTGGGTGAGGCGCACAGCGGCCTACACTGCGTCTCCTGGTGACCACGGAGCGCCCCTTTCAGCCCGGACTGCTTCCTAGCGACTGCTTCGGAGCTCTTCAAGTGACACGTATAGGCCTCTTCTCCTGCTCGGGGCTTGAGTTTTTGCTTTTAAAATTTTTCGAGATGGAGTTTCACTCTGTTGCGTGGGTTGGAGTGACGTGATACGATCTCGGCTCACTGCAGCCTTCGCCTCCCAGGTTCAAGTCATTCTCCCGCCTCACCTTAGCCTCCAGGGTAGCTGAGGTTACAGGCACCCACCATCAAACTTGGCTAATTTTTCTATTTTATTAGAGACGGAGTTTCTCCATGTTGGTCAGGCTGGTCTCAAACTCCTGACCTTAAGCGATCCACTGGCCTCGGACTCCCAAAGTGCTGGGATTACAGGTGTAAGCCATCGTGCCCAGCCCTACTTTTTACTCTTCTAAGAGAATCTTTTGGCAAACACAAGTGCCTAATTTCAATTTAATCTGATTTCTCAATCTCGTTTCTTCTACCAATCACAACTTACCCACAGAAAGGCAGAGATGCTGGACACCAGCACCGCCAGGCCCACAGAGATGCTGGACGCCAGCACCGCCAGGCCCACAGAGATGCTGGACGCCAGCACCGCCAGGCCCACAGAGATGCTGGACGCCAGCACCGCCAGGCTCTCCCAAGGTGGGGGCTGCCTCCTCCTTCCTCATGGCCTCCAGCTTGGAGGTGGCCATGCTTCGCAGAAGGAACAGAAAGGGGGTGCCCTCCTGTCTGGACTGCCTGCCAGGTGTCATGAGGCCTCTTCACTCTTCCCCATCTGTCATCCTAGGACGTCTGGGCTGCGGCAAGTGGAGGTGACACCGGCACCGCTCTGTGCCTTTGGTGGACACACGCGTGTGTTTCTGTGAATCTTCATTGACTCGAGCGAACAGCCAGGCCCTACAACATGAGCTCGGCTTCCACCAGCGCGGGAGGCAGCGTCCAGGGGAAACGTTCAGAACATCTGCCCGCTCCAGCGGTGGTTCAGGCTCCCGCTGCCCTGTGCTGCGGCTGTCTGCTCCCCTGTGCGGTACGACAGGTCCCACTGCGGAGGCTTCCACTCTTTGGCAAAGTCAGGCATCCCTGCCGCGTCTGCTGGCCGGGTAGAGGCCTCATGGCTGTCTGCCTTCTTACGGATTCCCAGGAGCTCTTGGTAGATTCAGGGCGAGGGCTGAGATACGTACATACACTACGGTGTGCCCACCTGCCTGGCGCCACCTGCAGTCTTTGGGATAGAGAGAGATTCTTCATTTCCATTTAGTCAACCCGTCGGTCTCCCCCCGGCCAGCACTTCAGTGCATCCCTGGTGAAGAGATCCCCGCCTGCCCAGAGCTCGTGAGACGCCCTCCTGGGTCTTCCTCTCCACGCCGTTCTGCTCGGGTACCACAGTCCTTCCGGAAGCTGTTTCTCTACGGTGGGAGGCAGGGCTCTCCTGCTGGGACATCCCTTAGGACTGGTCCTGTCACAGCCCAAGCCACCACCAGCGTGGCCTCGACTCCTCGCTCTGTCCGCAGGCCTGCCTGCCTGTCCTCAGCAATCCCGCAGTCTCATCACCGCGTCCCGTGGCAGATCTGGCGGGGGTGGCGGGGTGGGGGGGTGTGCTGTGCACCACAGCCTCAGCCTGGGTCTCGCCACCCCTACCGAGAAGCCAAGGCCTCTGCATTTCTGCATTTCCAGAGTCCGCGGGGCAGTTTCCACCAAGATGTGCTTGACTCGGCTGGGATCACACGGAATCCACAGATGGGCCTGGAGAGAAGGGCCACCTGTGCAGCATCGTGTCTTCCCCTCCACACGCAAAGCAGAGCTCAGTTACTGCTCAGGCCAGCCTCGGCTTCCCTTGGAATATTCTACAGTTTTCAATAGAGAAGTCCTCAACCAATCTTTTATTGTATTCCAACGGCTCAGTTGACTGAGGCACATGCTGGACAGAGTGCTTGAACCCAGGAGGCCTAGAGCTTGCGGCTGAGCCTGTAGTTTGCCAGCTCACACCACTGCGACGTCCAGTCCTGGCCGCATGTCAGAGGACTGGAGGATCCTACCTACAGTTTTTCAACTAGGACCGACATCCTAACCAATCTATATATTGTAAAATTCCAACGTTTTTTAAATCTTATACTTTTTTTTTTTTTTTTTTTTTTGAGAGAGCCAGAACGGAGTCTTGCATTGCCACCTATGCATTTTATACGCAGCTTGAAATACGTTGGAGGCCGGAGCGCGGTGGCTCGAAGGCCTGTAGTCCCAGCGCATTGGGAGGGGCGGCGGCGCGGAGTGGAGATGAGGCGGATCCCAGGGTCAGCCGGTAATCCATTGCGAGACACTCGTCTTCCTGTGGAGACACAGAGTCGATATCCCCGCCGCCGTCTCGTACTAAAAAATACAAAAACGTATCCAATTTTAAGGTGTCTCCCCGCACACCAAGAGCAGTTAATCCCTTCAATGGAACCTTCAATTTTCTGGATGAAAACTACAGACAAAGACAAGGAGATGGCGGCGGGCGCTCCATTATCTGCGCCGTCGCCTCACCCTCGGAGTACTGGGGACTCACAGGCGCCGCCACCTCGCCCCGCTATGTCTTTTTGTTTTTTTAGTAGAGACACGATCACTAATAGGTATACAGGAGAATTACTTCACCTGATACTAAGAGAAGTTCAACAGAACGAAAATGCATGCATAGCAATTCTAATATGGATGAGGTTACTATCAAATTGATAAACTGTTCGGAAATAGCCAGTCATCTGTTACCATGACCTTAACACTTTTAAATGCAAAAAATAATTGGAATCCGCCATTCGGCTCACACACAACGCACGCCACCGCGCCAGGCTCAACGTAGTTTCGACCGCTGCCTATACGAGATCGCGCACTAGCCCTTGAAATCGCGGTCATTGGAAATGAGTATAAGCCAGCCAGGTTTGTGGTATATCTCATCCTCTCATTATTTTTATATTTATTTAGTTTTTCCTTCACCACGTGCCTGTGCTATTTTTCTTTTTTTGAGACAGGGTCTCGCTCTGACTGCCCAGGCTGGAGTGCAGTGGTGTAAACTAGGCTCCGCCGCAACTTAGCCCTCCTGGGTTCAAGCATTCTCCTCGCCTA